TTAAATGTATACGAATACCATGTTCAAGATAAGCAGCTTCAATAGCTTGATATGATGATGTACGTGTTGTTTGAGATGGTGGTGGTTGATTGAATTTTCGACGAGACAATGTTTGTTGAGAAGCTTGAATATCCATTTCATTAGCACGATCCGATATTGAAATACTAAGCGAAGACAAATCATTATTGAGAGATGTTGGTAAAGCAAATGAATTATTTGTACGATGTTTAGATGGTTTACATTCACTGTTAGATAGATCCATTCTACTGCCACTTATGACAGTACCTAAGTTAAATTAATAGAAAATTAAGATTTATACTTATCTTTTATTTGTTAGTTTTAAATTCTAAAATTACCTTCATTTTCAAAAGCTGGTCTTTCTTTACGAAGCGTTTTTAAACGCATATCGATTTGTAGAGTTTATTCAGAGCAAAAAAAAAATATAAAGAATAAAATGGTGACAAAATTACAAATTATTTAACGATTCGTTTTGTACAAATAAAAGAAAAAAAAAAAGAAAAGGTAAATGAAGAAACCGATGAAATGAAATGGGCAGTCATACATTAGACGAACGACAACAACAAACAAAAGTTAGTAACCAATCTTTCTCTCATTTGCTTTTCTCTTTTTTTTCTCATGATTTTCAAGTGCACATTTTTCCTTCCACGATCAATTTCCCTCTTCAACAATAACTGTGTATTTAAAAGTTTCTTTTTCTTACCTCTCGATTTTTTCGTTCGATCAATCGACCATTGCACAAATCTGTTGTCCCAATTTTTCTTTTTTTTTTGATATAAGAAATGAAATCATTAAACAAATAAATATTGAAAATATCACTTCAAAAAAAAAAAAGAATTAAGTAAGAAGAAAAAAGGAAAGAAAAAAACAATATGACATGAATATACTCAAATAATGATTGTTACACTTGAAAAAAGCTTAACTATGTATGGCGTATGGTGGATGAGGTTTCGTTTAAAGTAATGTATAGTAAATTATGTTTTGAAAAAAGAAATAAAAAAACTTGGATGTGATCAAAACCTTGGAAGCATAACAACTAGCAAAAAATGAATTATATACTACTCCAATATTTCAATAGATTTACATTTATTAACAATTAATTTAAGTTTTTAGAGTTTCAAAAGAGGTTGGATTTATGTCTTTCTTATTTTTACGATTGGTATCGTAGGTCTATGTTTAAAACATTATTTGCATTAATGTTATTTTCTTCTTATTTCTCTACTGACAAAAAGAATCATTTAATATCAAATATTGGGTTACTATAGAAAAAAATTACTAAAACTTTAAAATACAATTTTGTACTTGTAATTGATCAAATCGTTGCATAAAAGAACTTTTCTCAATGTATTAAGAAATATATGTGAATTAATAAGAGTATTTCATAAAGTCGTAATATTTCAAATATATCATAATATTAAACACCTACTACAACCTTATCAGATATTACATCCTAGAAACATGTCACGACCAAGAACATGTATAGTAGCTTTACTGTAGATAAAGAATGTATAATAGGTTTTCATTTCTTCAAGGAATATTCTTTTGTTGCATGAGTCTATATTGACGAAGATTGATGTATACACTATATGCAATAGACGTCTATGTTTGGTTCAAGGGAAGTCCTTCAACTGATAAATCGCTTTTAAGTCGAGAATGCGTGCACTAAATACTCCCAAATGAACCATGAACATCCTGAAAAGAGTTATTGCTGTGGTATCACTGTACTTTTACGGTAATTTTCAAATGAATACGATGGTAAGAGAAAAATTGATGTTCGAATTTCAACTTGAAACTTGACATAGAGACAGACCTTAACAAGAATAGTTTTTTTTGTGAATATTTTCGATTTTATTATTGTTCCTGTCTTAAGATAGAGTTATGGTAATATTAATGTCTTTTACATTGTTCATATATACCAGAAGATTTGATGTTCTTTTTTTATGATAGAAGCAAATCAAAAGATCTGAAACATTCTAAATGAAGTATTTTTGTTAGGGCTTGTCTCGAAGCAAAGTTGGAAATTGAAATACGAAAATTAGTTTTTCTTTTACTACGGCATCTACCTAAAAAAAATACCGTAAAAGTGCTGTATATCTGCAGCAATAACTCTTTTCAAGGTATTTATAGCTTCTTTGGGCGTACATAATGCCCCATATATAGATCCAAAAGTAATTTATACGTTAGAAAACTTCTCTTATAAGCTAGAGTTTCCGATTTATACATATTATTGTTCCAGAGATAGAAATAACATGATATATCATTAAACATTTTTTAAATATTGTCTTTTATCAATAGACATAGCAAAAAAGGGTATCGTACGTAATTATACAATCACTTGCTCACTACGAGTAAATTTGTGTTTGTATTATTTGCCCACACCATTATGAGTAGAAAAAGAATTGTGTGATTCTTTTTTATTCTTTGTTCATAGTAACGTACAAAAACAACAAAACCTGTGATTGAATTATATGAAAGGTAATATGGGCCACAGAGCGACTCAGTACTTTGATGAATAGTTGTCATTTTTCTGAATGAAATTACAATTCTTTGATTAACTGAACAAATCTAACCAACTGGAAGTTTTGAATTTTACAAATTACACTAAATAATCAATACTGATCGATTGTTAGATACTTTACAAGGTCAGCAAAAATTATGATCTTTTATAGCAAGTGATAGACTCAGATCGAGAGCACTCATATAAATATTGATGCAGGATTTTGATTTGTTTGCTTGTTTTAATCAAATTCGATTTGTAAGTCTTTCTTCAAAAAGTACAATCTAGGTAACTTAACTAATAAAACATGAAAAATATTGTTACAAATGTATAGAGCAGATGTAGACATGCAATCATGTACTATGAAGGTCAATCTCCATTTATATGGATTCATGTTAGAAATGAATGCTGCGTGAGAATATAAAATTTTATTGTTATTCTGAATATGCTATTAGACAATTTTTTTTGCGCACATCTACGAATAGTTGATTAGTAAATATTATTTTATAATATTTCATCATGTTGTTTTCTTTCATAATTAACACTAGTTAGATTCCAAAGGTGAATAACTCTCATCATCTTGCTTTTTCCATAGTTTATTCTTATTTAACATTACCTGTGTATATAACTGCCGTTTTGTCTATAATAATTCTATCACATTGTTGGATCATAAATAAACAGGTTGTCCACAAGAGCATTTACAAATCTTATAAGATAATTTATGCTTGGCGACATAATGTGCTTTCCTATCAACGTATCACTTCTCATTCCGACAATGAGAAGTTTTCAGAATATCATTGTGATAAAAAAAAAGTTCACTATTCAATTAGCTCATGCGCAGATAATATTTAACTTGAACTTCCCATTAGAAAATGATAAGTTTAATTGCATTGAAGAAACTACGTATTGAGCTTTCACTTGTATAAATCATCATTTAGCAAATATAACTCGAAACCATTGAATCAAACTTATGCACCACCATAGGTTTTGTAATGTCTGATCTTTTCAAAAATAATAAGTATACAAAACGTGAAATACTTAAAAACCAAGCTCTTCGAGAAAGGATACTGTCGGATAAAGTCGTAAAGCTGTCATAAGTTAAAAGTATAGAGCATGATATTCTGTAAATTTTTTGTATATTTATTTTTTGTTTTGGTCAAGATAAAAATAGACCTTCGAAGATTAGATAGTCTTACGGGGTCTATCTTTTTTGAATGATAACTATGATAGCAATAATTTTTTCTTTTGTAAAACTGAATATGAAAACTAATAGTCTAGATCGGAGTAGTTTTCATTCCCTAAAAAAATGGCATATTGCTCATGTTCATCGATTGTTTTATCCAAGGTCAGACAGATGCAACAGATACAATTGTTATATTATATAGACGAAATTTGATGTTTTCTAGCATATTGTTATCTTTAAAAAGCAAATTGCCACTAAAAATTTTAATGATTAAAAACTGCGCCGACTCACATTCTATCAGTCAATATCGCTTTCAAAAAGATCTATGCTGTGCAAAGGCTCATTCTCATCGGAACACGATACGAAAATGACTATTTTGGAAATACTAAAACAGTCAATGTCGCCCGTTTTCTTATTTAAGTCCTCATCAAACTTCAACTTCAGAACTGCATGAATGCCATAGTCGGAATCAGTCCAAAAAGAAATACGTGATATCTGATAAATTTCAGTAAAAATAATTTCTTATAGAAAAAGCGATGTAGCCTCTAGGAAAATACTTTTTTTCAAGCTTCGTTCGAGCTTGTCCAAGGTACATCTATCATAAAAAATTGTTTTTGACGAGATGCGCATGATATAACGCATTTTTTTAATGCTTATTCTAAATATGGTATTGATTTAGCTTTCAAATTCAAATTCGATGAAGATTTCAATAGGAAAACGGTCAACATCGACTGTTATTGTGTTTCTAAAATGGTCACTTTCGTATAGTGTTCTGATGAGAAGAAGCTTTTTGACGAAATAGATCTTTTTGAAAGCGATATAGACTGATAGAGTGTAAACTGGCACAGTTTTTAATCCATAAGATTTTTAGTTGCAATTTTTCATTTTCAAATATGATAACACCCTAGAAAAATACCAAATTTCCTCTATAGGATATAAGAATCGTATCTATTGCACTTGTCTGATCCAGTATAAAATAACCAATAAATATGATCAATATGTTCTTTTGTAGAAAATTAAAAAATTACGTCGATCTAGAGTATTAGTTTTCATATTAGTTTATAAAAGGAGAAACTATCGTTACCATAGTTCTTATCCAAAAGAAATAGTACACAAACATGTGTAGAATTTCATGCTCTATCTTCGCAACCGATCGAGTATAAAACCTAAGGGGATGGCTGATTTACGATTCTATCTAGCAATATTATGATATCAACATTTTATTCGTAACAAGCATATATTGTTTACTCAAATTCAACTGTCATGAAGACTTTTAATTAACCCTTCAGCTTTTTAACTATTTTATTTATTCTCATAAATTTTTAAAACATAAATAATAATTCTTCCAAATGTGTCATAACTATCATAAAATGTTAAACGAAATGGAACTTGATCGATGACATGTGCTGTTGGTAGACGAAAGACGTTTACCTAATGTTAAGGAATCTAAACTTAGAAGAAACAAATAGATATCTAACATATAAGAATATCAGATAGAACAAATAAAAAAAGGATATTTGTAATTTGCCATGATTATCAGGATAAAATTCAGCAATTGATGTAAATGTTCCATCTTGTTGTCGATCTTCAATAACAAATCGTTTTGCTGCAAAACCTCCTTGAAACTTAATAGCAATACTATTCAATGTAATACATTTCATAGGAGTAATCTGTATCCATTGTGGAGAACCCTAAACATTATTTATAACAGTTATATAATATGCAAATACAAAAAATCTTACTGCTTCTGAATTCCAACATGTTTCCTCATTACCATCAATTAAATTTTTCTTTCCATAATTCTTATTGTCTTTATTAAGAACAGAACTAACTCTATGAATTTTACAACAATAAAAAACAATTGGAAACTATCATAGACAATGTACCTCAACTGAGTTTCATTTAACTCTATTTCAATATCAGATGCCATCTAGAAAGTGCACATATAAATGATTTTATTTACTAAAGTTGGATATATATGTTTATTTATCTAAACAAACTTAAAGAAAACAACAAGAAGAACAAAAAAAAAGAAGAAGTGCAATTTTATTCTTCAATTGGTGGCATTTGAGAATTTTTCACTTGACGAAATTGTCCATCAACAGCAAATTTTGGATTATCTGGACCAAGTATTGTAGCTGCATAAGGCTTTTTAAGTAAATATTTTTGTGTTACATCAATTAAATTTTGTCTCATGCAAGCAAATATTCCATCACGATTTTTTTGTCGCATTTCATCATCAATTCCATGTAAAAATCGTGTCATACCTTGACTACCAGGTGATTTTGGTTTATCAAGCTACAAAAAAATATTAAAATCATTGTTTGTTATTGTAAAAAAAAAACAAAACATTTTACTTTTTGAAATGTTGCTAATTTAGCTTCATCAACATCTTTATCAGTAAAATTTCCATTAACAAAATAATCAATACATTGATTAAATCGTTCAAGTGTTTCAACAGAATGTGGATCTCTAAACAAAGAAAAATCATTCAAATATCATTTTCTTTTTTTCTTAATAAGGGCGATCTAAAAGCCACTTTGCCGAGGAAAAATTCAATATCATCACCATGTTTTGATTAAATGCCTTGACTTTTTCCATTACTCATAAAAGTGTGTTCATAGTCGTAAGAAAAATGTTGACGAAAACTATTTTGAGGTGTCATCAATTTAGAGATTCGCAAAACAAAAATACGATATGTCCTAGAGACTAAATTAATGAGGCAACTATTTTTTTCGATCAATTTTTCATATAATTGTTGTTTGGTTTTATATTTACACTAAAGATTTATGTCTTATTATAGATTGAATTTTGAAAGTTTCAGCCCTAAACGATGAGAACTTGTTGCAGAAGCTTACAATATGTTCCACGTGCTTTTAAATGGCTTAGAAAAAATTTTCTAATGATAATTATTTCATTTTTATTTCCGATTTAATTTAAATTTTCAAAAGTTAGAGATATTCTCACGTTCAAACTATATTAACGGCTAGTCAAACATGATCCAAGAATGTAGATATAGCAAGAAATGGAAAACAAGATAAGTATTATAGCGAATTTTGGCTCCAATAACATAAGAGTACATGTGACGCATTTGCAGTTCTCTCAATTTTTATGATTGAAAATTCAGGGTACACTGGAAAATAAAACATTTATCGGTAGTATAAAAATGAGACCAATCAATTAATTATTATGATGTTTATTTTGGTCACGAAGACATACCTTTTTTTTCACAACTCATTCAAGGTCACTGTTGTTCGTTGAAAGCAACAGTGACACGTAAAAATAATTTTTGTTAACGCTATTCATATGAATATAAACTATGAACTAGAGTTCATCGGATTAGCTTCGGACTCTACTAAGTTCAGATCTGAAATGTTTTTTATCAATCGAATCCAGGTTCGAAAACTTAGGACCCGACGGGCTCTACTGTGAACACATCTTAACCAGTGATGAAAAAATCATTCCATTTAATCGAAATATGATGGTTATATTCAATTTTTTCTTGATTCAGTGACTTTTGGGCTATGCTGTACTTTCTTACCGATATGAAAAGAATGAAAATAAATTTCCTCGAAGATATGCTCCACCTCCATATGCACCACCTATTTCACGAATTTCACGTAATAAAAATTTATTAAACATTAATTTCGATAGTATTAATAACCTATATAAAAAAGAAATAATATTTTAATTTTAATAAATAAGAAAAAGAGAAATTTACCTAGGATAATCTTCATGACTATAAGGTACACTTTGATAACATTGACCTGAATAGAATACATCAAATGGCATTTCAAAATGAGTTTTTGATGGTAATTTATTTCGTCCTATTTGAAAATCATTTTTCAGATAAAATTGTGCATTTTCATGACGTATTAATTGTAATTTATTTGTTGATACTCCTGGAAGTCGATCTAGAAATGTTTCAAGTCGTTTCATTCCATTTGTTAATCCATGTGATTCGCCATTAAATGCACAACTTAAAAATAAGAAAGAAATATTTATTATGAACAAAGAAAATAGATTTACCGTAAAGATTTTTTAGTTAAAACATAATCTGCTATTTGAGCTAATTTCTTTGTTATATCATCAAAATTTTCTAATCGTGCTATTTCTTGCATACGATTAACTTGTGTTAAACCAAATAGATTTTCCGATAATTGATCAACAGGTCCATATTGACTAGCTGAATGTATAACAGCAAATGTATGACCAGATTCATGAACACTATTTGCACTTGCTGATGCTTGACCTTTAATTAATGTTTTCAAACGATCATATTGATGAAGTTGTTCACTTTAAAAATAGAAAAAAAAAAAGGAAATTTATTCAATAAAAATAATAATAAATAAATAAACTGAACAAAGTTCATACTTGAAATGTAGAAGTATATCTTCCCAAAGATCAAACATAGCATTAATATTTCGATCAAGACAATATGATGAAAGTAAAATACCCTAAATAAAATGAAAATATATTTTAAAAACTTTTTCTTTTCTTTTTCATTACTTCCTCATAATCTTCAATTCGAAATAAACTTTCATCCAAATGTGGTGATACATTAAGACCACCAGTTTTTAAATCGATTTGTTCTGATAGTTCAAGATAATTAAATTTTTTTGAACCAAGTCTAAAGAACAACAAATAATATATTTTATTAAGTAAAAGAACGGTTACACTTCAATGATGCGCTTCACCTATTTTCTTTCTTTCTTTCTTTCTTATTCCTTTTTTTTTTATTTTATATATAATTGCACATTTACCTGTGGGAAGCTTTTTTTTCTTCGTACTCTTTTTATATACAACAAGAAAAAAACAAAAAAAAAATATCCCATGTTTGATACACAATTTCGTCTTTCACCCGAACTATTGGGTAATGGTACAACATCTGATGATTCATCATCGAATGGACCATGGCCACAAATGTCACTTGATCGTCTTCTTGAACATCATGATTTAACACCGGCTCAACCAATATCAATTAATGATTCAACAAATAATGAATTTTGGTCATCATCAGCACAATTTAAGGAATTTTTTAATAATTATCATCGACATATGCAACAACAAAACCAACCAATTGACATATCATCATTACTTTCATCTTCACCGTCACCACCACCACCACTACATCAACAACATCAATCACAACAACAACATTATCAATTACCTCTTGTTGATAATCATATATTTGAACCTCAACCTGATCAACAACAATTATTTTTTGGTCAATATTCATCTGATAATAATCCAATATCTTTCAGACGAGATTCAATGCATTATCAACAACAACCGCAACCATACACCAATCGTTCCCGACAACCAGCAAATATTCATCGACAACAACAACAGTATAATCGAACTGCACCACCAGTTCTTCAAATACCTAATGACGATCATTATCAACAACAACAGCAACAGCAAGCAATTGGTCCACCACGTTTTAAACAAAATCAACATCCAGCTTATGTTGCTTGTTTAAATCATGGTATTAACTATAATGGTATATCTGGTCCACCTATACTTTTGCCACCATCATTTTAAAAAAAAAATATCAAAGATTCATTTCGTTTTCTTTTTTGTTCGATAGTTTTCTTTTTAAATAAAAACTCACTTTGTGAGAACATTAACAAATAATGGTAAATAAGATTTTAATTCATTTGGTAATTCAAATGTGTTAAGTAAACAACGAAAATAAGTTATACCATTTGTTGGTTGTTCACACAATTGGACATAGGTATTACCTAAAATAAATAAAAATGATTGATAAATTAGTATGTAGAACGTATACCTATTTGTCCTTGTGTTATTGGCACACGAATAACCTTCTTGTCAATGTCATTAATAGACAATGTAGGTAAAACGTCAACGTTCTGGGGTGCAGATTGTCGTTTTTGTAATTCTAAGCCTAAAAAAAAAGATTTTCTTTCGTAAAATAAAAAACACAAGAACAAATAAAGTATAAACCTTTTTCATATATTAATTGTTTATCTTTACATTGAGATATTAATTGTTGACAAAGTTGAGATTCTTTTTGTTTTTTCTTTTCAGCATATTCATCATCAATATTCATTGTAGCTATTAATTTATGGTTATTTTTCTATAGAAGAAAACGAAACAAAAAAATTTTACTCAATGAATTATTTAACTTTATACGAACTAGAAAATATTTTTCAACAATATCTTGAAGTAATTGAGGATTTTTTTTTATTTCATTATTAAATTTTTCAAGATATTTTGTGACTTGAAGACTATCAATTGGATCTGTATCATGTATCCAAGAATAAATTAAACCCTAGATTAATCGAAATATTTATATCAAACAAAAAATTAAAATATATAATTTATACGAACTAAAATAACTTTAAGACCAAAATTTTCATCTTGATGTTTGATACCAAGTTCAAATTGATGAAGTAATGCCTCAATTTGACTTTTTTCAAAACCTTGTCTGAAAAAATAAGTTTTGTAAAACACAAAAAATAACAAACAACAAAATTCTTTCTTAAATTTTACTTCGCAACGTCTTGAAATGTTTCATCAATAATTTTAATAACACGATCAACATCTTCTTTGGATATATCTTGTAAACCAACATGAAATGTTGTATTTAATGTATGACGTCCAAAACTAGAATAATCGTTTCATTCAAGGATAATAAATTCAACATAGGACAACAGAAAAGGTTTATGATATGAAAAAGAATGAAATCTAAATTAGTAAAGATCTTTCTGTTAGATAACTTTGTCGTGTTAACGTAATAATAACATTTTTTAGGATTTCCTCAACATGTTATTTAACGTTTAATACAGTTATTTCTTTGATGAAGAATTCATATTCACCAATATGAATAATATTTTTTTTAGTCACTGAACATTAGCATTATGTTAATAATAATAATAATAAGCTAACAAATATAAAGAGTTTGAAACAAAAGTTTATATTGTTTCTTAATATAAGTGTATTTCTCTAAGACTTTTGACTTGGGAGTTATGACGTAACTTTTCAGAGGTGCACAAAATTAGTTTTGAATGAAGAATGTTGGCGTTTTTTTTTGCATTGAGTTAAAGACGAAATTTTTGTCTAGAAAATGACATAAGAATCAAGAGTTTTAAAACAATCATTCAGGAATGGTTGAACTCACTTTACAAGTCTGTCTTCCATAGCGATTCAGAAAATTGCTTATATTGACACTTTTTACCTTATAAAATTACTCACTGTTGACCAGTGACTTAAAGTGAACCAATCATTAGCATAACAGTTTATAGAGAAATGTCTATTCTATCATTTTTTGCATTTAGAATAGTTTTTATAGAGACTAAAAAATGACCCAACATTTTTCAAATTACTTTTCCATAATCTATTAGTTTTATTTATGCATCATGATATTCAACGAATTTCGAAATAAATTTGTACAGTAAACATCTTCAAAATTTACCCTGTATCAGGTGAATAAGTATTACCAATATTAGGTACAATTAAGTTCTTATAAAATGGAGATTTTTCTGAACCAACAAGTAATGAGCAGACAATATTCAAAAGAAATGTTTCCCATGTATTACGTATACTAAAAATTATGAACAAAACATATAAATTATATTTAATAAATGAATAATTATTATGTGCTACCTTCCCAGTAAATAACTAACGCTAACAGTTGTTGTTTTATTTGGATCAACAACGAATGATTGTGGTGAACAAGTTATATTTACTGATCGTGGTTTATTCCAACGAGATTCTTCAATTAGTTTCGATGATATTGTTTTAGTTTTTTGCCGTTCATAATTATTCAAATAATCATTAAGAAATGCAAGTGTATCTGATACTGGAAATGAACCATATGTAAAAAACCTAATTTTAATTAAAATTTAGTTATTACAAATAATAAATTTCTGTTTTATTTTTCATACCGTCCATTAGATGGATGATAATGTGTTGCATGAAATTCTTTTAATGCCTTCCATGTTAATACTGGAATACTTTCTGGATCACCACCTGATTCATATTGATATGTTGATGTTGGCATTAAATTATTTTGTATTCGACGAGCATAGACCTGATGACTATCACTCTATATAAAATGGAAAAAAACACCAACTCAAAACAGAAAAATAAAAATAAATAGTTAGCTTACAAAAACACCTTTCATTTCATTGAATACAACACCTTTGACCACAATTGGTGACGTTGGATCATCAATTTTTTCATGTTCAAGACGCCAACCTTCTTGCCTTTATTAAAGAAAGAAACTATATGTTTTTGTTCTTCAAACAAAATTTGTATTTTACATAAAATCATATTCATCAAGTTTTGGATGTAAAACAGCATCGAGATAAACAGACATAAGATTAAAATAATCTTTTTGATTTTGTGTCGAATATGCATACATTGTCCAATCACTAGCTAGAAATATAACAATTCAAATATATGCGTAGGACACATCAAAATATTTTTTCATGGGGTTCTTCTAAAATCTGTACTTTCAGGACAACTATTCTTATATAATACTCGGATATATTTAGAATAATGTGCAAAATTTCACACTTAGACGTCCAGAACTTCCTTATATTGTTGCATTTCTTTCAGATTAGTCATACAAAGGATCTACGAAATTTGTTCGAATGAAAAATAGTTGAGAAATTTATAATAAAGAAATAAGCTTTCAGCTATATGAAAAAACAAGAATATTATTGCATAAGTATTATCTTTAATTCTTCTAATTTTTGTGATAGTAAGATGCCAAAATGAAGGTGACATCGACCATTTCCCACGACATTTTTATTTAAGTAGCAAAAAGAGTAAAAATAAAGGGTGACTGTAAGTACTCTTGCACTCTCACGCACACTGACACCTCATATTTATACCTACACCCACACCTTTATCATTGATTGAATAGATTTGGACGGATCATTTTTCATATTTTATTCTACATTGTCACTAATGATAGATCATAGTTTTATCATTATGATGAAATAGAGTAGTCGAAAGTTGGAATATGACCAACTAATTCATGAGTAATCAAAGCTCATCGAAATAAAACCTCAAACAAATGAAGCTTGCAAACTTTTTCATGAAATCTCGCTTGATCAAGTCCATACTATTATAATCTAATAAACGAAAGTTAGGCTGTCAACATTTGCTTAGCTCAAGTTTTCTGACTGTATCAACAGAAAAATAAAAGATCGATCTATGAAGCCTAAGTCTTCACTAATAAAAATACAAAATAACAAAAAACCTACAATATCAACGATTTTTCAGCAAAATGTCATATAGAGTCGTATTAAAATTTATCGTACTCGCCACGTCGGAATTCATATTACTTTTTTCTGGTTTCGAAACTCTAAAATCCACTACATTGATTGGAATTCAATATTACCAATGCAATGTTAATTGTGTTAAAACAAGTCATAAATGAACTCATAAAATACGAACTCAAAAACGGCTTCCATGATGTATTTTCATTAGATGAAAAATTGCATTGTTCATGACGAGTAATAATTGGAAAAACAACACTACAGTTAACTGACAAAAAACAAATTTCCAAGTGCTCGTTTTATTTTGGAAATAAAAACTGTTATTATTTTTTTTTTTCGAAGAAATACCTGTGAAAGCATTCATAAATGTAGCCATACTACGATTAATCATTTTAAAAAATGGATCACGACATGGAAATTTTTCTGAACCACATAGTGTTGTATGTTCAAGAATATGTGCAACACCTGTATCATTGTTTGGTGTTGTTTGAAAAGCAACACTATCAAAAGAAAAAATAACGAAGATTAAACAAAAACATAAACTTTTTTTCTCTAACCTCCAAACATTATTTTTATGATCACGATCAATATGTAAATGTTGACAACCAGTTAATTTATGTTGAAGTTTAATAGCAGTTAAACGAAACTCTGGTATAGGTGTTATCTAAAAACAAAAACAAAAACAAATATTTGATTTATAATTATTGATATTTATTTGACCTCTTTAACAATATAACCATGTAATTCTTGACCAACGGAAAGAGATGTTGAAGATGGTTTAGATGCAACAGATAGTTTTTGTAATTGACGATTAAATGAAAATCGTGTTGGATTGATAATTCTATTCGAAAAATATTCATAAATAAATAATAAAAAAATTAAACTTTTACCGATGACATAATCGAAGAAGATTCATAATTGAGATTGAAATTGATTTATTTTATCTAGAATAAGAAAAAAGCAATCATTACATTTATTTATTCATTTATTTTTATATTTAAATTAGATGGAAAACGAAATTTTTCTTTTTCACATTCATCTGTTACATAATCACATTGATAATATGAACTAGGAGCACGAAAATTAATTGGAAAACCTGGACAATAATATTTCGATTGATTTTTTCGACGATGTAAACGTGGTTTTATTCGACCTTTAATACATTTTGGACATTTTGGATAGGCACCATGTTTAACCATATAAATAATACGTGAAAGAAGATCAGGTTTATTTCCAAAAGGATTTTGATGATTAAAACGAAGAATATTCTTGAGTACAGGCACTTTCATAGAACTTAATTGAACACGTAAAGAAGGTGGTTTTGTTTTTTTTGTTGTAATTTTCTTGTGTTTTGTAGTTCTTAATAATTTTTTATCATTAATACCTTCGATCTCATCTGTTGAACTGGATATTTTATGATTTTCTTTTTTCAAACTTAGACGTGTTACTGGAGCCATTCACTTTACAAATGACATGCTTGTGCAATTACCTCTTATCAGTGTGTAGAAATAAAAATAAAAACAAAACAAAGATGATAACACGCAAATATTTATATATATATGTGGTAGTGTCCATTCTCGGATCCGGCTAAGAAGGGAAACTCTTTAGCTATTTCCTTCCAATTTTAATGGTTTTTTGCCTAGAGACACTATATAATGTTCCAATAAGAGCCCTAAAAAGATTCAGGTTTCTATTGAGACTTGACCAAGCTATCGAACTTTTAATATTTGGATTTCTTTTTAGAACTTCCACGTTTTCAGAAAACTTGTACATTCAAATTTTAATTGGTAAGTTTGTGCAAATAGAAAACTCAACTAGTCTAGCTTACATGAAAAAAGATTCAGAAGCTTTCAACAAAATCTCTTCGTGATATGAGACTTTCAAGAGATAAACCGTTTTCCATAAGATAATGTAATCTAGTCTAGTTGATTTTTCTATATGCACAAAATTTCAGATCAAATTCGATATTTTAATTAAATATCAGTAAGAACTCAAATTCTTTGAAGATTTTTATTAGCATATTATGTAGTGTCTATAGGCTAAAAATCGTTGAAACCAGAGGAGAACATCTGAAGAAGGTACCTCGAAAACCAATCTGACATTCTCATAGTAGACATGTTCAATATCGGATCGCAAAAGAAGTTTTCATTAGAGCTTCCAGAAGTTTCTAGACAGATGGCAATGAACTGTGTTGAAACATGGGCAGTTCAAGTGATATAATCATCGATGGAGGAATTCAATTAGGATTCACAAAGTTATAAATAAGTTTCTACAGAGGAACAGCTTTTATTAAAAGCTATTCATGAGTGTTTGAGTCCGTTTTTATTTTCTTCATTGATGATTGTAATATCTAAAATGCCATTGTTTTAACACACTTCATCAACATCTATCTAGAGACTAATAGAGGTTTTAACAACAACTTCTTCCATGATCCGACATTGAACATTATCTCAGTTTGAACGCTAACATAAACATATATATATATCAAGGTAATGTTTTCTATCATCAATAATATTCTCAGTATTTATTGTCACGCGTGCACAGATAAATTAGAAAAAGTAACTTACAAGGAAATAACAACATGTTTTAAATAAGTATGAATAAAACAAAAGTAAAGGGACACATACAAATTGAAGAAAACAAAACTTCTATCATCATCATCATTTCAAATATTAGTTACGCAAAGAAAAAGATGGGCGACACACGGAATGTAATAAATGATTGGCATTGATTGACTTAGATTTGGTAAAGAAATCGACTTATTAAAAATTCCAAAATATAGATGTTTGAAAATCGGCTAAAATGAATGATTTCCTTCTACGATGTTAATTGAAGGTAGAATCAATGATATAGAAAAAACAAAAACGAAAGAAGCAAAAAAAGCAAAAAAAAAAAAAAAACAACCGAGAGATTCATTCACAAAGTACGTAAAAATCTTAAATAGAATTTTAAACTTTTGTATAAAGAGATGATTTTGATCCAACAAGATAAATATGATATTTATTTGAATTGAAACGAAGTATACCATGATAAAGACCAAGTGGTTCATGTGGAAAAAGTTCAAAACAAGATAAAATTGGTAAAAGAGTTGTTACATCGTTTAATGATTCTTGATGATAGACATATTTAAATGTATCAGAGCTATTAAAAGAATAAATAAATAAATAAATATTTTCAAAACAATGATAAAAATATTTATTTTTTCATACGAATTTTGATTTTGTATTAAATTGTACACATTATTATCGACTGTCTCACATTTTTCCAATGACTTGATTAATGTTGCAGAATTTATTGATTTAGTTAATTGTGCATCATATTTATCTTTTCGTAGTGTATCAATATTTGATAATGGTGGAAATGGATTTCTAGTTTACAAAAAAAAAAATTTAATCAAAAATCAAAATAATTCGATTTGATCACAAGAAAATTTTATATCAAAAATCTTCATACACAGTCAAATTTTTCTTTCAAAACTCTCCATTATTTGAATAGGAAAAAACGCGTTAACGTTCCTAAGTTATTCAATTATTTTGACTCAAGACTAAATAAGACAGATGATGAATGTTTACTTCACAAAATTAACATTATTTTTTCTTGACTTGTTTTGTCAGAAAAGAGTCCGCGAAGTTTTTTGTTTGCTGAAGAATTACTTATTCATTAGGATTCTTTCTTATGTTATTTATATATTTTTTAACCAGTAAAATAATAACAAATAGTACTGTTTTATAATAAATTTATAAGCTCAAAAAATGATACAACTGAGAGACTAATGTCAAAAACTTATTCCATCAAGAATCTTGCGGAATAAAATCTTTTTCGTGTTCTGTTTTCAATTCTATTTTCAATTTTAATAAAATTGACAAATTGGAGAATAGTTGATATAGATTTAGAAAAAAAAAGAGATATTTTTAAATACTTAATGATATATTGTATAAAGAAATGATCAAATACATCATCAATCAAGTTTATTTACAAAAAAGTAATATTATATTCCGAGGATCAAAGAAACATCTATGTATATATATACTAAAATCATCATGGTTAGTCCAGTAATAACTTTTGACACTAGCATTATTAACAAAAGAAAAAAGAAAGTGTGTTGAATAATACTCATAGAATTCACAATTCTAGAAGATACTTAATTTACTCATTTTCTCGTACAATATGACATCATTTCTTTCTTTATATTGCTTTTTTTTAATCTATTCGACTTTATCGGATATTTTTTCGGAGATACACATTTCGAAACATGCTATGACAGTAGTAATTTGTCTAATTGTATGATGATCGAGTCGGTTTGGATTAGAATTCTAGAAAAACTTGTCGGTTTATATCCATATCGTGCTTTTCCTCTTAAAATATCTTTACATAATTAATATCATTATTGATAATACATAGATATAATTTAAATATAGTCTCTAATTATTTCTTAATAATACTTACAAACTTGTTTTTCGTTTTCGATTAAAAAGTGTTTCAACATATTTTGTATTAACTCGATTTCCATCTATAGGTCGTCGATACACTCTTGAAACATCAGGCATTAAAAATGATGATGTATCAGAAAATGTCCATTTCTCCCAAACTCTAGACGAAAAATAAAATAATTTCCTTTTTGAAATAAAATTATTAATTGAAAATATATTTACCGTTTAGAACAACAATCTTTAAATGTATCTTTCATATTTTTCTCATAAAATGAACGTCTTAATAAATAACCTAAACCATAAAATTGATCGACACGATAGATTAATTCAATTGAACCATTAATAATATCATAAGCTAAGTATATGAAAAAAAGAAAACAAAAAGATCAAAATGAATGTTGAAAAAAGAAAAATATCGATAAAAATATTACAATTCGGATTCCACATTTGAATTGCATCAATTGTTTCATCTTTTCGAAATGTTTCACTTAATAATGCTAATGTATAAAGAAAATCTGGTGATAAAATAAGATCTTCTTCAATAACAATTATTTTATCCTAAAATAAAATTCGTCTTTTTTTTTGTTTCTATAAAACTTAACGATTTTGATTTTATTTTACTTTATTCGAATAAAGTTCCCACATTCTTTTTAGCGCTTTTTCATAATGTTCTGGAATATAATATATTGATATTTTTGTTTATAATAAATATTTTATCTTACCCATATATGTCGAACTGCTTGATGTTTTTTCACCACGAAATCCAAATAAATCAATTAAGGCAAGTGGTTCAGCAAATTTTTCATCAACAGCTACCTAAACAAAAAAAAAGAAATCAGGATAATTTTTCTTAAATCTAAACAAAAAAAAATGCTTTTCAATACGTACAACAACATTTTCAGTATTAATTCCTGGTTGCATCAATAAAGTTTCCAAACACATTCGAAGAGAATTATGTGAAATACCTTTAACAAAATATGATCTATGTTTTTATAAATTAAAATCAAATAAAAAGCAACCAGCAATAACTAAAATTGGTGTTGAATAAATTGGATTATCTTCTAATGTTTTATTTATTAATGGAATTGTGAATAGATTCTTGTCAATATTTGTATCTTATCAAAAAGAAAAAGAATAATTTATTTTTAAATAATAATCAATGAATAACGGTATATTTACCACTACAAAAATCTCCATAACCATCATAACGTGAACAAAAATCTCGTCGTCTATCATTTCGATATGGTAATGGATCAGGTCGAATTGGAACACCTTTTACTAAAAAATTCAAATTCATACTTAATGATTATTGTACAATAATCGGCTGCAAGTTTTAAGTTTTCACCAGAACTCTTACTCTATTATTAGTGTCTCGCACAAATACGACTTTTTGTTACCGAACTCAGACTGGAACTAATCAATATCTAGAAGATACTTTCACAGTCACAGTACGATGTTCAAACTTTTATTTTATATGAAAAACTATACTGTTTAGTTTCGTCCATAAGCATCCACGAAAAAAAAACGAAATTATCTTAAATTCTAAATAAAAGCAAGTGATATAGGATTCACTTGATGTTTTTCTGCTTCTAAAATTCGATCAATTTGGTTAAGGACAACTTTTAGTTTTTGTGATCCGGATATCTCCTAGAAGGAAGCATTACAAAATTTCGAGTCTATAACAAATTTTTCTCTCCTGATTGAGATCTATCTAACCTGAAGCTTTCAATTTGTTTCTGATGAGCCATTCTTTATAACTGCAGGAAAGGGAAAAGAACCCTCGTAAGTATTAGTCTCTTTATAATTATACTCCATTTGGTACCAATTTTTCATTTAGATAGTATTCGAACGAATAAATCTTCTTCTTCTTTTTTTCTTTCTCGAGGGAAAAAATACATTTAATTTTTAAAATTTATTTTTTTTTTACTCACATGTTTGTGGTATACACATTCGTTTGTCGATTGGAGATGCATAAGTACTTCCCACTCCTGCATATGAAATCTAAATACGTATAAAGGCATGTCTAT